GTAATCATCCATGTCAAGAGAGGGGTTCGGCAGGGTGATACCAATTCACTAAAACTCTTCAGTGCCACCCTCAAGAACATCATGTGATGACTGGCATGGGAAGGAATGTGAGTGAAGATAGATGGTCGGCAACTACACCCCCTTCACTTTCCTGATGACATCATTCTAATAACACCAAACATCAGTCAAGCGGCACAAATGCTGACCTACTTCGACCGTGAGTGTGGAAAGGTCGGACTACAGCTAAAATCTTACAAAGACAATGTTTATGAGAAACAGCCTCATTCCTGACGCTGCAATCGCTCTCAATAGAACCACCATCTCCGAATGCAACAGTTATATATACCTAGTTTGAGAAATCAACATGATGAATGACCTGACACCTGAGTTACGCAGGAGGAAGAGAGCGGCTTGGAATGCCTTCAAGAGCGCTGAAGAAATAACTAAGAGGACAAAGAACCTCCAACTACAAGCACATCTCTTCGATTCCACTGTTCTTCCTGCATTAACATATGCCTTAGAGAACTGGGCCCTACGAAAACAGGATGAGAACGCTACTAGTGTCTCTCAAAGAGGAATCGAAAGAGCTATGCTTGGAATATCACGCATCACTCAAATGAGAGATAGAATCCAGAGTTCTGATCTCCATCGACGCTCAAGAATCAGGGATGCTGTCTAATCTGCCAAGGTATCAAAAATCAGATGGGCTGGACACGTAATGAGGTTTACAGACAACCACTGGCCTAGAACCATTACTGACTGGATTCCACGGAGCGTCAAAAGATCGCGTGGACGCCCACCTACAAGACGGTCAGACTTCTTTGTCAAGATCCTGAATGATTGGTTTAGGGCTATGCATGTTCTTAGAATGAACAGATGCCATTGGGCTACACTAGCACACAACAGGCATGCATGGAGACATTACTGGCACTCACTCGAATAAATCGATGAATAAAGGGGGATCAAGTGATCAAATGTTATATTTTTTTAGGTTTTAGAATTACTGCTTTTATGCAGCAACACGGTTGGAACTGGAAGATACCGTCTTGAGTGATGTTAGCCAGAAAAAGAGACAAAAACAGGATGATGTTCACTCATCTGTGGAATACCGAACACTGTTTGTGGCAATGTACTTTAAAGGGGCTGCTTAAATCATCCCTGATTCCAGTGTTTAGAGAGAAGCCGGACAAAGAAGAAAAGAAATCTGGGGTGGAAGAGAAACAGAAGTTTACAGGGATCAGGGTTTCATTTATGCCAGTGACATGGGTGAGGGGTGTAGCCATTTACCCAAAACACAGATGCAAGAGACCTGAAAACTAGAGATCTAAGCTGTAACCTAGTCATGTGCTTGTCCAGATGACAGGCGGGAGTAGAGTGGGGACTGGGGTGGGGAGAGAATACGGGAACACGGGTGGAGGGAAGCTGATGCAGGGATTGGTGTTCAATTATTGTATGCCTAAATACAACTACCAATAACTTTGAAAATACTGGCACTTTAATGAAAACTTTAAAAACAATACAATAAAATAAATTTCCAGATTTCAACATCCACTGAGGTTAAAGACCCTCTATTCCCAGCATTAGGCTCCGATATTTTACTTGTGATGCTGAGACCATAGATGTGGTTGTGGGGATGGAGCCGGACCCCACCTTTCAAGTCGCATGTTCGGTCCACTGAGCACTCCAATGGCATAATAGTTAGTTTCAACAAGAGAATCTTACAGCACACTTGTATGCAATACCCCCGTTCCCTAAAGAAATTGCTGTAATGCCACATCCTGAACTTGTGATTTGAGTTCTAAAATCAAACAAAATGCACAATGAGAATTAGTCAAATGTTGAATGGAATGCAGTTGAATGACCAAGCAGGTGGAGGACATCTCCATAGTTCTCACAGTCCAAGCAAGCCTACAGAAAGGGAAAATCTGCGGGAAGTGTTGCTGGGAGGAGCTCGGCAATCCCCCAAAAAGCCTTTTGGGTTTTGTTTTAATCAGACCCAGTGATGCTTGGGATACCATAGGGGATGCTGTACATTGAAGGTAGGCGGCATCTGTAAGGCGAGCAACCCTCCGTGATGCACTACTGTTCTCGTTCTAATTAACTTCACTATGGGCTCACAGTGACAATTTAACATACACACAATAAAACGTTTTTTGATGCGTACAAACGTAATGCAGGTAGGGATTTGCCTTGCATGAGGCTGACAGGGGTTGATCCTTGAACACTGCCAAAAGCAACTTACGAGAACCACCAGGAACAACTGCTGAGCATCCTCAGGACCCAAAACAAAAGAAAACTAAATTTCTTACTATACTCAAAACACCATGGCAATGATCCAAAGGCAAAGATAAACATGGTGTCAGATTGACATAGTGGGGTCCAGAAAGGGCACCCGGCCCTTTAGGTGTACAGTCAGGCTAGTTATACAGCCGGGAAAACAAGGGCCTTGAAACACATGGACTACTCGACATACCTGACAGATGAGGAAGAATGACAACAAAGTCAAGAAAGCAAAGCACAGGATCTCTCCATAATAAACAGCTCTGGTGAGAAGACACCCTTACCCCATGCCACAGCCCCACATCACATGTTCTAGGGATGAGAAGGGGACACTCAATGTCCAATGAGCAACTCAAAGATTTTGTGGACTGGAGGACTCCTGGGTTGGCCACATGCAAGGTAAGCATCCTATTTGCTCTACTATTGCTCTGGCCATTTCTAAATAAATGGGAGAAAACGGGAAAAAATGGGAGAGCACTTACAAAACTTTCAGGTTTAAGTCTCGGTCATACAATGAAACACCCGTCCCTTCACCGTGCCCATTTTCCACCACTAAAAACCCAAGTATACCGCCATTGCAAGCCTCCTCCTATCTGTGGGGCAGATAATTTCCACATTCTTCTCTCTACTTTGATTACATTCAAATAGTTTGACACGAGAACCACCATTATTATTTGGGATTTTACCCCAGCACTCAGATCTGGCGAAAACACAACAGTAGACAATTTTTTTCTATTGCTGGTTATAAATAACATATGATTTTGGAATTCTGAAATTTTAACAACTAAATCTGGAGGGATTTCTGCCAAAACCTGCTGGGTTCCGAGATTTACTCCTGAGTCTCTGGGATTATGGCCATTAAACAGCTTTATCACAAGCCAGAGAGGTGGTTCATGGGAATTACTTAGGCTCTTGTTGGGGTGGGGAGGAATTGACCGGCTCCACCCCATCCTGAGAGGCCCCACGTATCTTCGTGAGTGTGGACCCAAACCTGACTTTCCAAAGGCCTTTGGAGGATGGAGGCCACCTAACTGCCAAGGGGGAGCAGTTGGGGGGACAGCACCAATTCCCCCTGGTGTGGACTGGGGACAGTAACCTACTGCAGGGTCCAGACACATTTCTGCTAAAAGGTGCTGGTTTTCGAGATTTGTCTCTGAATCTCTGGGATCATGGCCATTACGAATCTTGATCATGAGCCACAGAGGTCAATTGTAGGTGCCAAACAACCCGGGCTTTTATTTGGGGGTGGGGGAAAAAGGGCCAGCTCCACCACCATCCTGTTAGGCCCTGCATGTCTCCTCACTGCAGTCCCAAACCTAACCATCCAGAAGCCTCAGAGATGGCGGCCACTGAACCGCCAGGCACGAAACCTATTCCCACCTGAAATACCCAGCTTTGGTAACCTTCTGAGGGGACCAGACACATTTCTGCTGAAAGCCGCTGGTTTCCGAGATTTGTTTCGGAGACTCTGGGATCATGGCCGTTAAATAGAGAGATCAAGAGCCAGAGAGTCCGTACATGGGCAGTGACTCGGGGTCTCACTGAGGTGGGGAGGAAAGTGCAGGGTCCACCCCAATCCCATGAGGCCCCGCATGTCTTATAACTGAAGGCCCAAACCTGTCTGTCCAATGGCCTCTGGAAGATGGTGGCCACCGAGCCACCAAGTGAGATCAGGCGGAGAGACACACCCTTTCCCCCTTGTGGTGGTCTGTCACCGGTAGCTCATTGCGGGAACCGGGCACACATCTCTGCAAAAAGCCACTGGGTTCCGAGATTTGTCTCTGAGTCTCTGGGATCATAGCCTTTAAGGAGTTTGATCAGGAACCAGAGAGACCTTGCCTCCAATTATATAGCTGAGCCGGAAATTGTTTGTTGGTGTGTCTTGCACATACCTAACTTTTGGCCATTTACTTTCATGGAAGACTTTGCCCAAAGTTTTTGGAGTCTGGCCAAAGGCACAGCAGCAATTTTGGAGTATCTGGAAGTCTGATGGTGCCATCAGGCTGCTGATGCAGTCGCCTTATAGGCAGATTGACCTGCTGGCGGTACCATACTCTCAGGAAGTAGAAATTCTATATATGGGAAAAAAACACCAATAGTGGGGTTGGAATCACTGTGAAGTGACTAGGATGCTTGCCTTACTGATCCAGGTCAAACCTCCCCATCCCATAGGAACCCAGCAGCACTACAGAATAATTCCTGAGATGCACAACCAGAAGTAAACCTTGAGCATCAAAGAATCCCTTCCAACTCCCCTAAATAAAAGCAGCTATTAAAATTAATCCAAAGAGGGGCTGAAGTGATATCAGAGCGGGTAGGACGTTTGACTTGCACGTGACCAACCTGGGTTCGAATCCCAGCAACAATATGGTCCCCTCAGCTTTACCAGGAGTAATTCCTGAGTGCATAATTCAGGAGAAACCCATGTGAAACGCTGAGTGTGACCCAAAAAGCAAAAAAAAAAATTATAATCTAAAGAGAAAATTTTCAGAGGCAAATACCTCTCACTTGTCCAAATACGCCCCAAAGTCCCAAACCCAGCACGGAAGCCAATGAAAATGACCAAAGGCGAAAGTGTCCCTTTCCTTTGGGTGCTGCCCATGAACATATCTGGAGTTTCGATAAGTATTATGTCCAGTCCAAAGGCTCCAAACAGGGTCCTTCATAGTCTCGAGTAGGGAGGAATGAGATGACCAAGACCCCCACTTTTTGCAGGATCCTCACACCAAGACCTGAAGTCCATGTGTCCACCGTCCAGTGCCATCTTGGATCTGGATGCGATCGTGGCTGCAGGGGCCCTCAGGATAACGCACCCTCACCCATGACTCCTGAGCCACAGAGCAGCACCCAATGCACCCCTCAAAAGATCCACATCCACTAAAACCTGGATATCCAGAACAAGTAAGAAACAAGCGTGAATGCACCATAGAAGCTGGCGTGACCTGGTGCTCATGTTTCCAAACCGGGATTTGCAGGGTGCTCAAGCATTCCAAATCCTAACACAGGAAAGACTGAAAAATGAAGGTTTACCTGTTTTTCCATTTTCAAAGTATTCAATGCTGCATCTTGATTTCTGCCATAATTCCCGCTAACCAGCCCCGCTGGGCCAAGCCAGAAGCATAGCAAACAATAATAGAGTAGTGAGCCATGACAGCTCTGAGCAGGAGGGTGTTTCTGTACCTGTTTATTCAGTCACCTTCCTCCTTATTTTCATCACCAGGACCCATTATCTACAAGTAAACACACAAGCAATTCCAAGCACAAGAATATTGGCATAGGTACAGCCCGGGTGAAAATCAGCAGGCTTCAGCAAAGGACTTCCCATATTCCTTACATATATACAGTTTCTCTCCATTGTGAATTCTCCTATGTACAGTCAATTGTGAGGATGAATTAAAGGCCTTTCCGCATTCCTTACATATATATGGTTTTTCTCCAGTGTGATTTCTCCTATGTACACAAAGGTTTGAGGCTTCAGCAAAGGACTTCCCACATTCCTTACATATATTACAGTTTCTCTCCAGTGTGAATTCTCCTATGTATACTGAGGCCTGAGGTTCGAGTAAAGGCCTTTCCACATTCCTTACATATATATGGTTTCTCTCCAGTGTGAATTCTTCTATGTACGCTAAGTACTGAGGCTACAGCAAAGGTCTTTCCACATTTCTTACATATATATGGTTTCTCTCCAGTGTGAATTCTCCTATGAACACGAAGGCTTGAGGATTCAGCAAAGGCCTTCCCACATTCCTTACATATATACGGTTTCTCTCCAGTGTGAATTCTTTTATGTACAGTAAGTCTTGAAGCTCTAGCAAAGGCCTTTCCACATTCCTTACATATATACGGTTTCTCTCCAGTGTGAACACTTCTATGTATACTGAGGCCTGAGGATCGAGTAAAGGCATTAGCACACTCCTGACATATATAAGGCTTCTCTTCACTATGAGATTTCATAGGTCTATTAAGACTAGAGGTCTGAATAAAGGCCTTCCCACATGTCTGACATTCATGAGGTTTCTCTCCTGTATGAATTCTCCTATGCATAATAAGATGTGATGATAGATCGAAGGCCTTCCCACATTCTTCAAATGCAAAAGGTTTCGCTCCTGAATTTATATTCATATGGTCATGATGAAGTAACCCTTGACTCACACTTTGTTCTCGGGGCTGACTTTTCTGGGGATTCTGTCCACTGTGGTTTTCTAAGGGAACACCACAGTGCTGAAAACATGGGGAGGCTCCCCCACATTCCTTACATGTAGATGGGTTCTGCTCACGGTGACTGTGGTTGAGGCTATGTTGCTGAGACGTACTCACTATAAACAGTGCTCCACTCCCTAATAGGTGCCCCACTGGGGAATTTTGTGTCTGTGAACTGAGAATAACACACTCCAATGAACTTTTTCCAGGAGAGGGCTTATTCAGAGCGAGGTAGCTCTCGCCATTCTGATCACCCTCAGAAGACATCCAGCCTGTCTCGGCGTCCTCATGGGGCTGAGGGCAGGATTGCTCACATGAGACATTATCATACAGTGCAGGATCAGAGACATTCCACTCGGGGTGGCAGCTTTCCTGTAGAACAACAGAGGATTCTAACTATTGACTTATTCACTGAGTCTTCCTGTCAAAAAAAACTGAGCCCTTCAGATGTGGTTTCACACATATGCACCACACAAATGCAATTACTGACATATGAATTGTCTTCCTATTGAATAACTTCATGTTGCTGTAAGTTGGATGCACAAAATTGATGGATAGAGAGTCAGTAAATTCTGACTTTCCCCCCTTTAAATTAATGAAGGAATACAACTAGAAATAATTCCGTCTATAGAAAACGGACGCATCCATTTCAAAAGAAAATGAAATACATCCACAGTGGGTTTGGTTAAAGCTCAGAGTGGAACCTCTGATGCAGGGGTGAAGACTACGCTGCATCATCACGCAGCTGAGATAGACCACGTGGCTTTTGCAAAGCTCTCACCACAAGTGATGCCTTTCAGGATCAATGAAGTTTTTTTTTTATTCTGTTTTGTAGTTTCTATTTATTGGGGGATGGGTGGGTGGAGGGGCACACCATGCAGTGTCTAGGATCAGTTCTGTGGGTCTATGCTGTCTATGAGGTGTGCTGGGTAAGCACCATCCATCCCTGTGCAAAGAAAGTATATTTCTCACTGCATCATCTCTAAGGCACACAAATTAGCTTTCTAAACAACTACCACTATCAAGCAAATCAAAACTCACAGTATTTTTATACATGGTTAATTTCAGCACCTAGTGAAGCTAAGGGTCCTCTACTCCAAGCATCAGGCTTTGGAATTCCTCCCTGCTATTTCCAGCCTTCCACCTTAACAATCACATACTTGGTCCACTCCTGCTGGCATAATAATATTTATTCTGAATTAGCGAATCTTACCAACTCACTCATACTTGCGGACCCCATTCCCAAATCAAAGTGCTGTAATGCCAAATCCTGAAACCGTGGTTTCAGTTCTGAAAGTGAACAAAACATGTAATTCAAGCTCTTGTCCAAAAATGTAGCAAAATGATGCCATGTAGTTAAGAGTACATCTCTGTGTTTCTCAAAGTCCAAAGAGTCCCACACTAAAGAAAAGATTCGATAGTGGAAAACTGTGAGGATCTTGGCAATTCTACACTAGGTATTGTTTTTGTTTTTGAGCAGACCTGGTAATGTTCGGAGAACTAGGTTATTGAACACATTATTGAACAGATCACCTTCAGGCACTGCAAGACACTCCCTGCTGTACTATCATTCAGATCCAAACTAGCTCTGTTATGGTCTTACTTATTCGAAAGCCATGGAAGCAAATTACAGGATCATTCTGTGACTCACATTCCAGGGGAATGAAGAGGAGTGTGAGTGCGGCACAGACCCAAGGATTCAGGAGACCAAGGCCCCGGTCTCAGCAGTGTGTTTCATACATGCTCAGGGCACCCATACACTGCAAAGGGCCTGAGCCAGGAAGGATCCTCAGACACTCACCCGCACAAATGTCTCTCCTCCCCGACCTCAGGGCTCCTCCTTCCAGTCAGGATATCGCCGCAGGCTTCATCCCAGAATGAACTGCCCCAACAGAGACAGAGGCATGGATAAGTGACAGAGAAAAGGTGACAGGTAAATTCCCATGTTTTCCTGATATAACTGGGAAAATATCTGAAAGACATGAACAGAATGTCCATTTCCAAAATGCCACATATTTCTAGTTATTTGTGAGTTAAGACCCAAGAAAATATCACAAATACTCTAGACCTGGCCTTGTGTATGGCCGACAGGGGGTTGTTCAGCACAATATGTTGTTGGTTTTTGTCTTGTTTGGGGTCTCACTTGGCAATGCTCAGGGGTGAATCCTGTCTCTGTATTCAGAAATCACTGCTGCTGGTGCTCTGGAATGACATAGGTTGTCGGGGATTTAACCCACGTGCGCCGCTTGGAAGAAAATCACTTTCCTCCCTGTACTGTCTTTCTAGGCCCAGCAGCACATGGAGTTTCCCGAGCCCCTCATAAACTCATCACGGATTTCAGTAAAACTAAATGCATAATAAATCTGGAAATGGCCAAGGGTGGCAAGAGACCCTTATTTTTTTAAGCTAAAAAATGTATCCAGAAAGAGAGCACAGCAGGAGTTTCTCACGGACAATCCAGTTGCGATACCAGATATCTCCTAGGGTCCCTCATGCCAACCAGGAGTGATCCCTGAGTGCAGAGTCCAGCAAACCCTAAGTCCTGCTGAAGTCTCACAAGAACCATTAGAAGTAAATCCAAGCACTGAAATAGGGCAGCGTCTAATGAGTTGAGAGACGAGATATCAAATCCCCTGTGGTGGGAGAGAGATAGTACAGCAGATAGGACAGAAGCACTGCACACACATGTGGGTTTGATCCCAGGCAGCCCATATGGTCTTGGAGCAAGGCCAGGTGTGGATCCTGAATACACAAGCAGGAATAATCCCTAATCCCTAAGGAAAAAAGAAAATGCAAAAACCGTTGAGTGACTGGTGCAAAAGTACTGGGGGTGAGGCACCAACATTTTAAGTTACCAAGAGGTTTCAGTCCATGGTACCCCATGGCCCCTGAGCACTCTTAGGAGTCATCCTTTAGCACAGAGCCAGGAGAACTGTGGACTGCACCCCCAAACAAAGGCAACAGCAAAACCAATTAAACATACAAAAGTTCGTGTAGTATACAAAGTAAATTGATTCACCAATGGATGGATCTATTTCAAGGGACCTGAGCAATAACTGGGCAGATAGGAATCTTCCCATGGACACAGTCGAAACGGGTTGATCTGAATCACCCCATAGGGTCTGGCTACCCCACAAGAGTAATTCCTCAGGACAAAGCTGAGAGTAAGCCCTGAGTATACACAGGTGAACCCTAAAAAAAAAATGAGGGAGGGAAGTGCTACTGCACACCTGTCCAATATCCCAGCGCATCACAGAGCTACTGTTGGACACACAGCTGCTGCCCAACCCCAGGGACCCCACGCGGGTCTCGTCAGACACGGTTGGCTCCACACTGCTCTCACCGACAGCCTGCAGATGCTGGTAGGTCTCCAGCATCACGTCCCTGTACAGCTTCCACTGAGAGGCCTCCAGGCATGACCATTCCTCCAGGGTGAAGTTCACAGCCACGTCATTGAAGGTCACTGCGTCCTGAGTCAGCACACGGAGAGGGTGGGAGTCATAGTATATCTTAGCCTCATTCCCACTACTCTGAGGCCAGGACCCAGGGTCCTATGTTGTCGCTGGGGCCTCTGCCCTCCGAATGAACCAGCCTCCATGCACACGCATGGCTGACGGGCCCGAGAAATCACATAAGGCAGCTGGATCTGCTAAAGTGGGAGAACGTTATACAGAAGGTTCTTGGATGTATCTGCCTTTCCTGGTAACCCCAGGGCCAATTCGAGCACCACTGTTCCAGTGAGCACTGTAGAGAAGATCACCTGAACACAGACTTGTACGATCCAAAAGACTATCCCTGGGTGTAGCAAAAAACACTGCATGCTCACCACTGCACCCCCAAAGCACATGACCACTAGGATTGAGAACTCGACAGTCCATATAGACAACTACTCAGAGCAGTGCATGGCATGCGTGCCTGTAGGAACTCAGTGATCAGGACCGCCCCAAATCCCGCTCAAAGAAGGTAGAAGTTTCTTTACCCAAACATCTCTACTGGCCTCAGAGATCCTTGGCTCTTTCTCCTTGGGATCGGTGCATGCCCAGAAATCCACACACAAGATTATGTGAACGTAAGACTATATGGCCGAGCAGGTAGCCTCTCCAAAGTAGGAAGGACAAAACAAGAGAAATGCAAGTCTGGGAGCCCAAGTCACTGTAGTTGCCAGGGCGCAAACGGGCCTAACACACCCCAGGGTGCTCTGAGGCCCATCACTTGTGAATCCAGAGCACAGAGTCAAGAGGACAGCTGATGACAAAAACAATGCAAAAGAAGCCGAAGCAGCAGGTTGGCGTAACAGGACAGCTGTTCCGGGGACAGCATGTAGGACTGGCGATCCCCGACATCCCATATGGTCCCACAAGCACTGCCAGGGGCGATACCAGAGTGCAGCACAAGGAATGATTGCGAGAATCCTTGCTCTGCCACCCCTAATAAAACAGAAAACCCAAGATGAAACCTTTGGACCTCCAGCATCCCATTGGTCACCTAGACCTGTCAGGAGTGAGCATTGAGCACTGAGCTTTGAGTACTCCTCATGCTCCACTGGGTTGGCCCCAAAGCCAAATAAAACAAAACAAATGTACACAAAAGCAACTTCAAACAGCAGAATGGGACGGTCTGATCGGAAGTCTCATCTTGGAATCCGTCCAAAAGAAACTCAAAACAGATGGCCCAGGAAGCCTGGGCACTCCTGGTACTACCTCATGCCATTCTTTCCGTCTACTCCTACCTGGGGACAGTTTATCAGAAGCCGTGTCACCATCTTCTCCTGTCACTGTTGTTCTGAGGATCAGCAGGAGGCTCCAGGTGTTGTCTGCTCAGGGAGAGATGAAGAGTCACAGGTGCTTTGCAGCTTGATGTGAGGGAGCTAAAATTCATGATCCGGAGAAAGAGCACCAGTATTGTGGTTAGAAGGCAATAATGTGAATTGGGTGCTTGACTAGATGAACCGATCAATCCTCTGCATCCCATATGGCCCCCAGCAGCACCAGGGATAATACCTGAGCTTAGAGACTCAAGTAAGTCATGAGCATCTCCTCGGATGTGCCCTCTCTCCCCCCCCAAAATCTAAAGAACCAAAAATAGCCCCCAAATACAATTTCATTGGCAAACCTCAGACACCTGCAAGTCCTCTCCCCCCCCTCCCCCACGTGAACCGGGTTCTCACGGCAGACAATGAAGATGACCTGCAACAGGTCTCCTGCCATTAGGTGGAGATCTGCCCCTCAAATCTGGAGATTCTACAGAAGCGAGCTTAGGGCCAATGGTTCAAACATGGGACTGCTGGGAGGGTTGGGATGGTCAAGCCCCTGGCTGAGTCCCACATTCACCCACTGTTGCCCCATCCCGGAGCTGGAGACGATCGTGGCCAAAGAGGCCCCCCAGGATCACGCATTCACAACTGCGACCTCTGCACCCTGATACAGCCCCCACCGCACCTCCAAAGCTCTGCATTCCCCTACAGCATCCACTGCATCTCAGTATCCACTCGGATGTCAGGGAACAAGTGAAAAACCAGCACAAAAATGCCCCCCAATCTGGCTCAGCCCCTCCGCTCACAGTGTGGAAATGGGAAGGTGTGGGGTGCTCATAGGAGGCTGCTCGAATCCTGCCACAAAATAAGCCTTCAGAGTCCCCCTTCCTGGATGAAGCGCAAATTTACTTGTCCTTTGCCAGTTGAGCAAAAGTCCCAGTGTCTGTATCAGGGATGGAAAATGAACCATGACACACTTATGACATCACTTCCATTTCCATAAGGTGCCTTAAAGAGCCAGAGTCTAACCACTGAGAACCTTTTTGCCACCCAGGTGAATCTGAGCTGCAAGGAGGATGGACTCGAATAAAGGAGTGGAGAGGCAAATGCTGGACTGGTCGGTCACACACTGGGGGCCTGGGGGTAAGGAGAAGTCCCCTGATCCTGCATTGTCACCTAACATTGAACCAATGATATCTAAACACAGAATGTTACCCTGACTCTTCTCAAATGATCTCTGAGCTCAGAGACAAGAGTAAACACTGAGCACTGTAGGCTGTGGTGAAAAATATAACAAGAAAAAAGGCAAGTTCTACCGAAGGGTGGGGGAAATGATGTACAAAGATAAATTCGAGAATGAAACATTAAAAGAGTCAAATTTCTGGTCCTTAAAAATCCCCTATTCTTGGGGCTGGAGAGACAGCACAGCGGGTAAGGCGTTTGCCTTGCACGTGGCCAACCCGGGTTCGATTCCCAGCATCCCATATGTTCCCCTGAGCATTGCCAGGAGTAACTCCTGAGTGTGAAGCCAGAAGTAATCCCTGTGTAGCTGCAGCTTTGATCCAAAAAAGAAAATAATCCCCTATTTTTGATCGGTCCCTGTTACAGAAACTCAGTTTCTCCTGAATCCCTATTGTTCATTCACCATTGTTTGTGCATATATATGTGTATATATAAGTGTGACTTTGTGTGATTTTTGTTTCAGGGCCACAACCGGCAGATTCAGGGCTTACTCCTAGCTCTACACGCAGGAATCACTCTGGTACAGATAATATGGGATGCAGGGGATAGAACCTGGGTCGACTGCTTAGATAGTTAAGTCTTTACCCACTGTACTATGGCTCTGGGCCTAAGTAAACGTGCTCCTAGCACACCCAGTGTGATTCCTGAGCAAATGTCCTTACTCCTGGAAAAACAAAACTTTCATGCTTAAAAAAAACAAAACCCTTTATCCTGGTTGGATTCTAGTTCTAAACAATTTAGGTTTAACATTGGTTCATCATTTCTCCTCTGCTACAAGGAGCTTAGGCTTACTGAATAACACCCATCCCAATGACTCCCATTTCCTCAGTATTCATCTTTAACTTCCCTGTGCTCTGCTTCCCCTATACGTTATTCACCCATTTCCCATAACCACAACCTGTGAATTGTAAAGTCAGATTCTTCAGAGATCTCTGGATTTTGTATCTGGAAGTGAAATGTTGACTTTCCCTTTCCTTTATATCCTCTGCAGTTTACTTTAGACAAATATGCTTTTTTGCTCCTGGACAAGGACCAGTGCAGTCCCAGGTTGGGAAGACTGTGCTGGGAGGATTGGGATGGGCGTTACTCAGTAAGCCTAAGCTCCTTGTAGCAGAGCCATGCCCCCAGCCCTCAGCTTTGTATAGACAAAGGAAGGCAATATTATGTTTTTGTAACTTCAGAGTTAATTGACTGCAGAACACTATATACTCCTGGACATTGACATGTTTATGAGACTTAAGCCTCAGCTGCCCTTTGTTCTTAGCATCCCAAAAGCAAGAGACTGGATGGACCCAGGAGAGCTGTGAGCTACCCTGGCATTGAAAAGGGACAGGTAAGCACCATAACAAATTCCATTATGACCCAAACATAAGCAACTAGATAAGGATCCTGCTGTGGTTAGAAAGGACTAACCTGTCCTGGGGAGTGTAGTCTGGGAACTATAGGAAATATCCCCAATAGAGACACCCTAAAAACTTAATAGATCTCTTACTGTGTCCATTCAAAATGAACAGAAAGAGTAAGTGTAAATTTAAGATGACTGTTTCAGTGAATATTAACTAAGCAAAGAAAAAATATGTCCTTAGAGAAAATTCTGCCCTTGAGCTGATCTCCTGATCTCTCCTTGAGTTAGATTTTTGGCCTAGAAGTTTCCCCTGAGGGAAGGGCTTTACATCCTAATTGTACAACCACATTTCTGTGTATTTGCTACCCCTAACTCTGTGGAATGGACTGGAGAATAAAGGCTGTGGAAGATAGGTGAGGAGAGGGAATGAGGAGCCGTGGGAGACTGGTATAGGTACGCAGGAGAACGAAATAAAGAGCAACTCATCACTGTGAGTCCACAAAGTAAAACGTGGGGTGCGGTAAGGTGCTGGTGGCCCAGCGCTGCCTCCCCACCTCCTGAACCCTTCCTAACAGAGACAGAGAGACAAGGAGACAGAAAATCACAGCCTGAATGTGAAAATGGCCTGTTTATTGCAGAACAGCTACCATATGTAGAGAACATCTGAGGGGGCATGAGGTAAGGACATAGGAATGACTGATCATTTACGCAGATATACATTTAATCACTTAATCACTTAACTTCCCGTTAGTTGTCGATTTGCTCGAGCGGGTGCCAGTAACGTCTCCATTTGTCCCTGTCACGTGCTAGTGTAGCCCAATGGCATCTGTTCGCTCTGAGAACATGAAGAGCCTCAAACCGATCGTTCATGATCTTCACAAAGAAGTCTGACCATCTGGTAGGTGGGCGGCCACGTGGTCTTTTGACATGCCGTGGAATCCAGTCAGTAACAGCTCTAGTCCAGCGGTCATTTTTAAATCTCATTACATGACCAGCCCATCTGATATTTGACACCTTGGCAAATGAGACAGCGTCCCTGATTCTTGATCGTCGACGGATGTCGGAACTCCGGATTCTTTCTCTCATTTGAGTGAAATGTGATATTC